GAAGAAGACTTCTGCATTATTTGTATGAAAGAGATGCCGAAAAAGTTGAATCGTTTCAACTCAATAGATTGTAATACGTGCAAACGGGCCGTCCACTTGAAATGCGCAAACATAACAGCCGGTTATTACATCTGCGTACATTGCGATTCTAAGCACTCGCAGATGGAAGATTAATTTCAATGTTCGTGTATTTTTTAGTGCTTTTTTTCAATGAAATTAATTAAAAAATAATTAAAATTTGAAAATATGCTGTTTTGGCTTTATTTTATGATTTATTTTTTAAGAATTCTTAGGATTTATACGGTTGACCAAATTACGCTATGAAAAAAAAAATCTCGATTTTTTGTGTTTCGGGAAAATGATCATATTTTTGCGATGAGATAGAAGGTAGATATATTCGAGAAAAAGTTGCGCTAGGTTTTTACCTTTCCAACGGTTTATTTGGTTTTATTCGAAAAAATACAAGTTTTAGATTCGTTCAAAAAAAAGTTGACCAAATTACGCTACTTTACCTTATATTTTGTAATTTTTGCTTCAAATGTCAAAAAAGAGAAAAATTTTTTAAAGCACTTACCTCCAATATCTTGACTGCAAGGCATATAATACTATTTTTTGACCTTCAATCTTATGTATGTATATATGCACAATATGTGCATTAACATGTTTTCATGATTATTTAAAAAATCCCTAAGTTTATTTTTAGGTGAATCCGTGATACGTGAAATGTACCATATGAGTATTCTGTATGAATCAGCAAAACAGTAAACGAAAAGAAAATATTTCTTTTACGAAATACCACACACCCACAAAAGAAATATTCTACTTATAAGCAGGGAATTCATTTTGGTATTTCTTTTAAGATGAATCTTACATAAAGCCTACTCTTCTCTAACATGTATTCATCTATAAAAAAGTGGACGCATGAACTGTGATTAAGTTCCACTATAATAACTCAAATAGCTTGAAATGAGGGGATATGCAAGATGTTCCGCGCGATACATGCTCATTAAAAGAAGATTGTTATTTATTTGCTTCGTGATTTATACATCATTACATATAAGGTTACGAACTTTGTGCGAGCAGTGCTTTACGAAATGAACAAATTAAAAAGAATGTTTAGAGAACACATTTAGACGACTATTGGTTCACATTTGAGAAATAAATCTGAAATCAGTGCGTGTTGGAAATGTTCCCTTTTGAAGAATCCGCATTGGTTACGCTGATGGTAGGTGCTGGGACAATCTTTCTTTGGGAATAAAGTTTGCGCTGTATTTATTAAATAGCGAAAGTTTATATATATTTCCATAAAAATTTATATACGTTATATACGTAATCTTTGTTATCTCAAGCAAAAAACCAGTTTTGAATCTCTTTATTTAATATATCAAGATCAAACACACTCCTTAAAAGTACTCTAGATTTTTCTTGTTAGCACCTTTAGCACTCAAAATTCTTACCATTTCTTATTTATCTCGCTCTTACGTTATTTCAATAATTACGTACATGTAGAATAAAAGCATCTGAGCCTGATGAAGAACATAAAGATATACTTGTGTTAAGTATATGGAGGAATTTCAAGTAGGTAATTCTTAGCATAAAGATGAAAGATTATTTTATTTGATTAAAATATCGGCAAAATTACGTGATAAAAGAGTGAGACGTTATAAGTACATTTAGTAAGTAGATGCTGTTCTGCGTGAATAAGAACAACAAGTATCTTCGTGCATTGAATTAACTCTTATCGATCCTAGCCATCACGTATGTCGTCTACAGGGATAGTTACTCGTATTATCAGGCCCGGCGATTTGTCTCGGCTCTGGGTGTGGAATACTGTGGAAATTTCTGATGAAAAATCCCCCCTCCTCACTCTTTCCACTCCAACAGTAGTTGATAAAATTTTCAAGTACACAAATTTTTTCTTTTAACATTTAATTTTATAAAATTTAACATTTATTTTTTATAATAAAAAACGTGGATGCTCTATAATTATATTTACTTATAAATTCATTTAATAATTTATCAATG